TACGGAAGTATAGATCTTAGATTGAGGCAGGAGGTGAAAATCCTACAGAGAGAAAGAGAAGAAACAGACAGAGGAAGCAAGGGGGAGGGGAAGAAGACGGCACTGAGGAAAAAGAGCGCCACAAAATTAATTTGAGGAAGGGAACAGTAGAGGAGACGTTGGTGGAATAACAATCAGGCAGAAGAGGGCTGGGGATAGGGGGAGGGTGCCAGAGGGTGGGGAGGAATGGTGCTGGAGAGGAGGACCCTGAGTGCAGAGCAACAGCAGCACCACCTATGGGTGTGGTGAAGGGTTACAGACAGCAACAAAAGAGGCCGCCACCTGGGCACAGGAGTCTGGGGTGCAGGAAGCCATGGCTTCTGCCCTTCAGTAACACAACACACAAGCTAGAAGAATAAATTCTATATGGCTCTCCTGGGAGGAGAGGGACTTAACAAGGTAAGGGAGGGAGAACAGAGAACTACTGGCTTTTTCCATTCCAAGGGGGTTTCCCTCTCAGAACTCAGGCAGTAGAAAGGAAAAGGGTATGAAAAGGGAAGAATGCTAGGTTCAGAAAGGAATGTGTGCACCTGCTTCTTCATTAGCTGGAGAAAGAATTTCATCTTTATTTCTAAGTGATTTCCTTTCCCCACTGGATGTTGAAGTACAGCTCCCTCCCTGGAGCAATGGATGCCCCTCATTCAGCTGCTTCCTCCCAGCTCTGCCTTGCAACTCCCAACCATCATTAGAAACCCCCAGGGAGCCACCAAGCTCAGAGAAGGAAAGGGAAGGGTCCCCCCCACCAGTCAAACAGGCCTGGGGGTGGGAGGGGTAGGGTGGAAAGAATGAAAGAATGCAAAAGCTCTGCAGAGGGAGGAGAGAGAGAAATATGATCAGTGGTATTTGTTGTGTTTCCAGGGAGGAAGGATCCCTCACATTTTTAATAATAATAAATACATGAAGACAGATTTGCCAGCATTGCTCTGGCTCCTTGGAAAGTGTGGGGGAGGGGAGCCAATGTAGCTGCAGCACAGACCAGTATCTCCCCCTCCCCTCCCCCATTAGATAGGCTCAGTATTGCAGCAGCCTACCCCTCCCCCTCTAACCGCAGTCCTCCCCATCACAGCCCACCCTTTCCACGGTCCCTTCACGTAGCTCTGCCTCTCCCTCCTCCACTTCTCTCCCTCTCTCTATTCCCCTCAACCTTAGACTCTATTTTTTTTAGCACTGGTCCTCATTTAACAGTCTTACTCTAGCTCTCAGAAGCCCTAGTACCCACACAGCACTCCCCCAACCTGAGGCCCCCCCCCCCTTTCCTACCATGCCCTTCACAGCTGACAGCAATCTCCCCCCTCCAACACCCTCACTGAAGTAATCCAGTACATTTCAGCATTTCCTGGATTCCAACAAAAAGGATTGCCTTTCCCCCATTTTTATTGCAATGTGACCTCCTTTCTCACAACCTTAAATATAATGGCCATCAAATGGGCTTGTGTTCAGGGGGTGTCAGGGCCTCGGGACTAGGTGACTACTGCCACCTATTGACCCAAATTTGTTCAAGATAGACCTTTAATACACTTCCTACACAGCGACGCTCTGTTATTTCAAAAGCATCAATAGCTTAAACATGCAAAGGCATGGCTCTTGGGGTTTCTCTGAGACCCTCTGAACAATGAGATCAAAGAAATACAAAAGCAAGACTGGGCACAGAGCCAGCGCAATGATGCCTTTCTCCATGCAGAGGCAGAAAAAGAGGCTGAGCCCAAGGAATGAAAAAGCAACTTTAAGTCTTTGCAAGGGTCTGTAAGCAAAGAAGAATAGGAGACAGACAGTTTTTCTCAAGGACTGTTAAACACCTTGTACATCACTGTATGAATGATGTTACCAATACAGCAGTGGGCGGGATTTCACTCTTATGCCTCTGTTAAGTTGGCCAAATCCTTGGGTAAGTCTAAACATGAATTTGAAGTTTAAACACCTAATAGATCCCAGGGAGTATGGGGATACTCAGGATTGCTGCTGACTCTCAGGTAATCTGTACCAATCAGAACTGGAGCCTGGACAGATAAACTGAGCTCTGCAAAAGGGCAGGTCTAGTGTACACACGCAGTCTACAGATTGGTTTAGCTCACCAACCTAAAACAAAAGAACTGGGGGGTTTGAACTCTCCATGGTGCTGAAGACAGACATAATTGGTTCATCCTTTCCTTAAAGACATAACACAATTTTCTAATAAGGTATCCATGAAGACTACAGGAACTCCTGAAAGACGTTTCTCCATGGCTTCATAAAATCATAACAAAAGATTTAAAGCAAAACCTCTTGGCCAAACCCTCTCAAAATGAAAATACTAAAGCAAGAGATGCTAAATTATATGTACAGAACAAAGCCAAGACTCTACCATCACATGATAAAACTGAATAGGTGCTCATATGCACTAATGACAGACATTACTTAGTGGGCACTGGAAATGAATGATCTGTTGTTAGCACTGCACTGAGAAAATCTGACATTCATGTGGTCTGAACAAACAGAGAACTGAATTTATGAGTAGGAATAAGAATGAAAACAATGGCCATAAAGAAACCCTCAAATCCTAGTCTCAGTTCCCTTGCTCTATTACAGTGATTTCAAACTACATTCTATGGAGTTCCAAAGGTTCCTTAGAGCTCCTCAGAAGTCTCGGGGAAAGAGGGCCATGACAAGCATGGAGCTCCAGGACCACTCATTCCCACTTTAATGAAAGTAACCTCCCTTTTGCCTGTTTTACACATTAAAAATCCATGTAAAACTGTCAACAATGTACTCTAGACATTGATGACTCTAGGACAAATACTCTCAGAAATTGTTCAACTTTTTGTTGAAAACCTCTTTCAAATAATGCTTGTCATCTATTAGGTCAGGGATTAACAAGATGTCTTGAGATTAGAAGACTGGACTGAATTAATTTAAGATTCACAAAGGCAGGGGTTTTTGCCTGTTCAGTTCACTGCTATAGTACCAAGAGGCCAGAATAATGTCTGGAACTCGTGGTTTCCTTGAAGGCAAGGCCTGGTACAGAAAAGAGCAGCAGGAAGGGAGGAGCTTGATGTTCCAATATTATTTTTTTAAAAGGAAAAAACAAAAACTCTGAAGACTTTCATAAATCCTAGGACGCTTGAGGTCCTCCATCCTCCGTGTTCTACAAGCATTGGTTCTCTAACTTATTAGCCATATTAACCTTGGGCAAAAAACTAAGTGTCTCAGTTTCCTCACTAGTAATACAGAAATAACATATTTTGTAAGGATTGAGTGTAAAGCACTTAGCTCAATATGTAACACAAGTAAGATCTTTTTTTAAAAAAGCACCTCCTTTCCCTTGGCAGTTCCCATAATCCAAAAATTTTAATAAACTAGTAGTGAATGCAATAGTTCAAAGGAAATATAGTAGTCCTAAAGCATTTTTTTTTAATTTAATTTTTTTTCATTGATTTTAGAAAGAGAGGATGGGAGAGGGAGAGAGAGACAGAAACATCAGTGAGAGAGAACATCAATCAGCCACCTCCTGAATGCCCCCTCACTGGGGATTTGGCCCACAGCCTGGGCCTGTGCCCTGACTGGTAATTGAACCGGTGACCTCCTGGTGCAAGGGTCGACACTCAACCACTGAGCCACACCAGCCAGGCCTAAAGCATTTAACTGAACCTCTTGTCCAGTTAGTTCAGCCGGAAAGGGAAAAGAATCTCTAAATCTGTTCTCATGCCTCTTTGCTTAGATTCACCCAAGGAAACAGAGAAGAAGGCGCTGGGCATGTTGGGCTCTCTCAGACCTGCCAGGGACTAGAGCATCTTGGTGTCATCCATGAGAAACAGCTCTAGCCTCTTTGATTTTGAGGGAATCTCAGAGATTATCTAACATAGTTATTTTTTAGCTGAGGAAAATTAAAGATCAGAGATGTTAAGTGATTTACTCAAGATAAGTTAACAAAAAACATCACTAGGCTGTCTCCCAACTACTTTCTACCAGGCTGCTGCTGACTGAAAACAGATCCCTGCCCCAATCAGACAGACCAGTAGAAACCCAAATTCATAGGAATCAGAATCAACAAGGTTTTAGTGATGCAATGACCCAAATTATATCCTTCTTCATGACACTGCCCAGGAATGTCAGACTTGAAAGTTAGGTGTTCATGAGACCCCAAGCCCTTAAACTACAATGAATGAACTCTACAGGCTCCTCAACTTACTTTCCATGCCCCTTTCACTTTCTATATTAACCAAGGCCCGAGGGATCTCTCACTCAGATCATTCTCTGAAAAGAATAGAAGATCTCAGACATATAACTTCTACCAGTCTCCTGGCAGATATTTCTGTGAGAGTTTCATTCTTTTGGTCTTTAAACTAGGAACTTTCTTTCTACCTGCTTGCTGGCATTCTTTTACAAGTTCTTTGTAAAAGGGCTGGCCTTTACTGACTGGTAAACTGAGGCCTCAGTTGAAGGAGGATAAAAGAAGCTGAAAAACACAAAACTATACTGATTCTTCATGCTCTAGTCTTTTCATTCACTCTACTATTCTCTCCAGCTAAACTCTAATTCTTAGTAACTGAGTTAAGATCAACCCTATGTTCATGCTATTTTAGAAAGAAAAGAAAAACATTCAAATTAGTGGAGACAAGAGTAACTCCCACCGAAGAGGAAAGGTTGTCTTGCTTTTGATTAGCCAAGCATCAAGTGGTTTTCTGAACCACTAATGCCACCTGGTGGCCAGCAAGATACATGAATAAGTTTAAAATCCATGTATTTCAGAATTTCTGTATTATAATAAATCATACAGGAACTTGGGACAACATGAGTTAGAAGAGTTGCTCATACTACTCTAATTTTTCAATATTTTGCTAAATAACCAATTTCTAGTTTCTATTATAAAAAAAAGAAAACTTCTCCCACTCTCCCCCAAATCTCATCTTCCCCTTTTATTGCCCTCTCACCTAAAATATTCCACACCCAGCGATTGAGTCATACATGTGCAAAAGTGGCTTCAATTCATAAGTAAAATCAGTTTTATTAATAAAGATATTTCCACATCTCCAGAGCAAACAATTAATACATTCCAAGGGAAAAAACCTACATACAGTGAAATCAGAAGTATCCCAGGATGACAAAAAATATACATAAATATGTACACCCATAATCACCGCCGCCTCCGAAAACCTGAAAGGGAAACCAAGAATGAGGCAAAGGACAGCTAGAAAAGCTGAAGGGACAGTACAAAAGACATCTAGAGAGAAGGGCTCAATAGGGGTGGCCTAGGCAGTACTCTATATCCTCCCAGGACAGACTAGAAGTAGGAAGAAATGGGATAATGGTTCCTTCAAGTGACACTTTTATAGTTCTAGTTAAGGAAGCCTGGACAGGGGTTGTGGGATCCTAGAGAAAGAATCCAGAAATCCCTTTGGTGAATGATGTTGATTTTCAGCTTGGGAAAGAAGAAAAATAAAAGCCCACCTCTAAAGAGATGAATACCCAGCACGAAAGAGATATTATAGGGGTTGGTAAGACCTAGGATGGCAAATCCAAAGCCATCATCCCAATTCATACTCTCCACCCTGCACTTAATCACCTAAGTTCTAGCCATTTACTGACCTTTTTTCTTCCGACCTTTCTTAGGTATCTTCTTCCGCTTCTTAACAGGATTCTGATCCTGGAGACAGATGGGGGAAGTGAAGGAATGGCAGTACGCTTGCAAGTATTAGTATCCCTTGCCAAGTTTCCCATGGTAACAAGCCCCACGTACATTTGCTGAAAGCATGAAGGTCACCTCCCACCACTGTATTGCAATCTCACCTCATCCAGATGAGGGGTTCCTCCTGTTAGAGCACTGATGTCACTGAAGTGTGTGAGAGAATGAAGCTGTGAGCTCATGATGTTTGCATGTTTCCGTCGTCCTTTCTCTCGCTTACTCACACTTAAACGCACCATCATGCTCTCCTCATAGTTAATCCTGCCAGAGAAACACAGACACTGTTTCTAGCACGTTCATTCCATAAGACACAAACTGCAGCCCAGAACCTGGACCCAGACATTTACCCCTTATTCAGACAGTTCTCAAGAAATGTCATAGTAAGGTGGGCAATCTAGTATTTGGTAAGGACATACCAAATGCTCACTACTGAGCTTCCTCAAGGAAATGTCCTTTGTACTAGAACTTCCCCCCTCCCCACAGATGAACTCACAGCCCAACCACTGGAATATTTAAACTATTATTATATAAGAAAATTCTTATATTTAAAATCCATAGACAGGATTGGCTACATGGGCTCTTTCACTCAAACTTATCAACTGGGCAAAGTCAATGAGTTTGTATTCAAGTTACAATCACTTATCTATCTAGCACTCTCAATCCCATTACAAAAACCTGTTTTTACTGCCTTCCGCACAAAAGTGAGAGCGGTGATAGTGAAATACAGAATGTTAAAGCCCTACTAAGTAGAACTTGCCTATATTCCTCTTCATATAGCGTTTGCTCAGTTGGGAGAAAAAAGATTTTTTTTTCTAATTCCTATTCTGCACTTTAAACCCCTAATTCTTAAAAAAAAAACTGTCCTCCCAAGTTTCCCACTCCACTTTCTATATAAAGTGGGTTCTCTTGGTACCAGACTTAATCATATTCACCCAAAGCACAAGGACAGGTCTCTATAGCACAGAAAGCAATGTCTAATTGCAAGGACTCAGACCTGTGCTGATCCTCCTGACTCTGGCGAGTAGCATGAGGATGCCGGGCATCACGGATCTCCTCTGGAGCATCTGAGTACTGCTCCTTAAGTTCACGAATGACAGAGCTGCTCAATGCTCGCCTCTTAGCTCGCTCTAGGCGCTTCTTCTCCCGTTCAGCCTCTGTTTCATCTATGTGATAAAAATTAGCAAGGGTTATCCAGAACAGGGAAAAGGAGAAGAGAAACACAATTCACACTGAGGAGGTAGTAGCCACAGTTCATACCATAATGTACTGGGACCAAGCGTGGTGGAACATATTTCTTAATTGCTCCATTTGAGGATTTCTTCCCTGAAGCTCCAGACTGGCCTTCCTCTGCATCATCTTCCTCATCCTCAGAACTCAACTACAAAAAGAATATAATGTCCACAAACTTAGGAAGGGTTAAGTGGTAAGAAAAACCAAAGCTGGCATACCCTGGGGAGGTGGGAAAATAAACAAAAGGGAGGATCTTGTATTCAACACTCTAAGGCACAAGCTGGGAATCAAGAGTATTAAGAAAATCCCAGGAGATCCAGGATCACCATGAGCTCATTCAGGCTTAGATTACTCAGGAAAATTAGGATAATACAGTCCCTTACCTTGCTCACCATATTGCTGGGATGAGGCTTAAAACGAAGTGGGTCATTCTCACCTGAAACATAAAAAACCCCATGAGATTTTACAAGATTTGGGACTTTATGATTGACTCCACATAACTTTACAGCTTCCCCCACTTACTGAGGCTGCCTGTCACTGCAGTCTTGATCAGTTTGTCTATTTGATACTTTAGTTTTTGGTCCAAGGGACGAAGCTTTTCCAAAACCTGTAACATGGTTAAAAAGGATCACATTCCCTTCCCAAAGTTAAGCATGCACCGGAGTCCATATATTAAGTTGCCAGATAAAACACATAAGATATGCACAAAGTAGAACAAATGAAGAGAAAAATAGTATTTTTCATTTAAACATGAGAATATCCACTTAAATGAGAGCTACTGTGTGACAGGCCCGGAGTTCAGGATTTGAAAACCTAGGACTCTAAGATGCCAAATGCTTCATACCGTGCGAATTTCCACCAGTCTCAAAACTGCAGCATGTCCCTGAAGAGACCCTCCTGAGGCTTTGTCCAGGATGAGGTGACTCAAATCCATAAGGTACATGAGCAGCAGCTGGTCTTTCACTTCCAAGAGGCTGAGACCCTGAGTTGAACAAAACAGAAGGAGATGCAAATTCAGTTTTAGCCAGAGAATCAGGAGGAGAGCCTAGGACAACAGGATATTTTTTCCAAGTTCAAGTTTTCCCCAATCAGTTTATATAAGGTATCTGGAGTAGTCTCAAGGGAGTGGCTGTACCTAAAATGGCCACAGAGAAAATGATGCTAACATAAGAGAAGCAAAGATCAGAGCACTACTGAAACACAGTAAGAACAAGAAAATCAATAAAGTATTCCCAAAATGACTATAGCAAGATTGCTCAACCTCAGAGCTATTAACATTTAAGGACAGATCATTTATTTGTGGAGTGCTATCCAGGCACTGGAGGATGCTCAGCAGCATCACTGGCCTCTACTCACTGATGTCCCTTCAAGTTGTGACAATCAAAAATGTCTCCTGCTCTGGCCAGTGTGGCTCAGTTGCTTGGGCATTGTCCCATGCACCAAGAACTCACAGGTTCGATTCCCAGTCAAGGCACATGCCTAGGTTTCAGGCTCCGTCCCCAGTGGGTGGTATGCAGGAAGCAGCCAATGGATGTCTCTCTCTCTCATATCAATGTTTCTCTCTCTCCCCCTCCCTCTCTCTTTAAAATCAATAAAAACATATTTTAAAACTATGTCTCTATATAGTGCTGATTTCTAAACTCAATTAATCATAACAATTACTGATTTTATCCGCATACAATGGAATTACATGATATCGGTAAATAAAATGATCTATATGTAGTGATGTAATTCCATCATCCTAACTTAATTCCATATCGACACACTTTCTATACTATGTAGAAAGTATGCATAATGTGGTTCCAACTAAAGGGTGGGGGAGTATGATGCACACATTTTACATGTACAGAAACATGTCTGGAAAATAACACACAATTAATAACTGCTATCCCTGGAGATCAAAATGAGAAAATGGAAGAAACGGAGATTATATAAAATTTAAAATTTTTTTGTGTTTTTATGTATCTTCCACACTTTCTAAAATTTACTATATTTATAGGCATAAAATTAAGCAACCTTTATATAAGTTCATTCTTTTAAATAAAAGAAAGATGTGTGAGTACTGACTTAAGTTATATTTTAAAAAGGAGTCACTCGCATAAAATAAAACTCAGAAAGTCCACAGCTCTGGGAAGACCTGTATTAGACAGGTTAAGTACTCTGCCCAAGATCACACAGTAACAGGAGTAGAGCTGGGATTCAATCTCAGTCTGACTCTAACAAGATAAGCTCTTAAGATCAGCACTAGTGTAGTACAGGAGAATAAGCAAAGGATTTAAAGATAGACAAGGTGGGTTTAACTTTTGAATTAAGTATTCAGTAGTCAAATATTGGATAAGTCACTTAACCTTCTAACATCAGTCTTCTCATCTGTAATATGAACAGTATTTCCTTCCTGTGTCAGAGTAATCATGAGGCTCAAATAACATGAAAGCACTAGTAAAAGTCTTTGGTGATAAGCTAGTAAATATTTGCTCAATGAATAAACAGATATGTAGTGATCTAAGATACATGCTAGCAGCCCATCTCAAAAAGGCATTAAAATGGAGCAAAGCATGGTACAGCCAAGAATTTGAGAAGTAGACTCTTCTGACACACTTGGGCACTGTAAAGTGCAAACTGAATTACAAGCACATGAAGAAACACAAAAAAGGAAGAAAAAGCAAAGGTTTTTTTTAAAAATCAGAAAATACAAAAACAAAATTGAATGATGAGAAAGAAAAGGCAAAGAGAAAATATTTAAAATGCTGTAAGCTATCATTCTAAAGCACAAAACTGCTTTTTCAAGTGTAAATCCCACGATTAAAATTCCTTCAATGATTCTTATTATCCTATTGTAATGATTTTCATACTTCTATTGACCTATGGCATGTTTTGCTTAAATAACATCTTAGGACAAAAGCTTAATATATAAAATAAGTAACAGATTTTCCAGTTCAAGTAAGTAGGAGGGATCCTGGACCCTCTGTCTATACTGGCTGTACTCAATGATCCCTGAGAAAGTTCTATAAGACCTCAATTTATAACCTACCATATTTCAATGTTAAGATGCACATTATTTTAATACTTTGACACCTCTAAAGTCAGGATGCATCTTTTAATCAATGGTACCTTAGCATATGTCACAGATTGACAGATAGTATTTTTTCTTAGTATGTATAAAGTGAGTGGTATGTCCTCAACTAACAGCATCTTAGATTAGATGAAATACAATAGTTTACAACTCAGTTGACAAGACTTTTCAGAGTCACTACTTTTCTGGTCTTATTTCCTATCCTCAACATACACAGACACACACACAGAGACTTCCGTCCTTTCCTAGAATATCACCATGTTTTCAGGACTTTGAGCCTTTGCATAACTGTTTCTTTCTGTACATCCGACTCCTATTTATTCCTCCCAATACTGTTACCTCCTCTGAGAAACCCTCCCTGATTTCCTCTGTTCCTCTGGCAATTATTTAATCTCTTTCCTTGGCTAGCAGTGCACTCACCATGACTCTGCAACATGGTTCATTCTGCTTATACCTACTACTTTGACCTGTCTTACTCAGTAGACTTCAGCACAGAAACTGAATTTTATTCATCTTTAAAGCTCCAGCACTTGGAACATACAAGACACTCAATAAACCTACTGTGAAAGAACTGTTGAGCACATCAAGTCAAGGGATGCTTACTCTTCAAGTATGTCTTACCTTCTCTGTAGGATAGGCTCTAGCTTGAACTTTTTTGGTCAGAGCTTGAACTTGTGCAGTTACAGCCATTACCTGAAATTAGTCCAAATAAAACAGCTGACTAGAATACATCAAGTAATCTCTGTGAGCTGTGAGGGGCAAAAGCTAAACAATGCCACCTAAAAATTATCTTAAACACTGTCCAACGCACAGTATTATCTTCTTTTCACTTCTGAGAAATGAGAGATAGTTTCTAATACTTCGTCAAAAGGTAGAAAAAACATTTCATCTCTTCTTAAAACTAAAGAAACCACCTTACCAAACCATGGAGAGGCAATGGGGACTGGGTCGGCGGTGACAGGGACTTAGATCAGATGAAATACAATAGTTAACGACTCAGTTGACAAGACTTTTCAATCTTATCTGTACTGGTTGAACTTGCAATGCACATTAACTACATAGAGGTATTTGAGCTGTACACCCAAAGGGCAAATGACATCACCTTTCCCAGCATCGGTTTCCTTAGCTATGACAATAAAAGAAACTGATTCAGATTCGGGTTTTCGGTATTCCTTTGAATGCATAAGTCAAATACCTTTCATTATAGCCTAAAAAGGTCTCCATCAAATCACTTTGCTCTTATGGTATTCGGAAGCATTCAAATATATGCCCTTAAATCATCAAAGTCTGGAGGTGAAGCACACAAAGTCAGAGTCAATCTGTGATTAACTTATTCTAAAGGAGTGACATTACTCACCTGCTCCTGGAGGTTTTTCAAAAGTGCCACGGCTCTTGGCAGGTCTGCCTCCAGCACTTCCTATAGGAGCGGGAGTAAAGAAAAGCCATTCTTTCACAGGTTTATGAGATGGAAAAGCCCCCACTTTCCTTCAGACACCACAGACTTCCGGCCTCCCCACTCCTGTTCCTTAGCAGCCTCGCCTCCTAGCGCGCCAGCCCCTCAAAGGTAACTGGAGAGGAGCGGTAATTCCAGGCCCGTCTCCCTACTGCTGCTTTACCCTTCGCTGAGCCAGGGAGGTTGCCTCCCTGAAGCTACTTTCATCACCACCCTTCCCTCGCGCCAATAATTTGCCTGAGCCACTTAGGCTAAAGGAAACGTCCGCGATAGCAACCCGCGAAAAATAACACACCGTAGCCACCGGGGCCGCCATCTTCACAAAGCCCGCCTCTTCCGGAGACGTACTTCCTGGTTGATAGACTGATGGACAACTACCGCTTGCAAATCTAAACCAATAAGAATAGCTTCACAGCTCACTTCCGTCTCGAACAGGATGTATAAGAGGAGGGACTGGGTCCAGCCAATGGAATAGAAGAACTGATTAAAGCCGTCAGATTTAGGAAGAAAGCTAATGACGTAAGGATATTCTTGGAAAGAAACATGATTAGTAAATTGAATAGAAGCTAAACCAATAAAAACTGGGCAAATGATTGATTGACAGCTACAGAGGCCCAATTGAAAAAAGGAGTTAGCCGAGCTAACAGAGAACGCATTGGCTCGCGGATGCCACAGTACCGAGTCTTTTCACGACGCTTTCCTTGCAGGGCCTGAACCGGCCTCTAGGTGGCGGGCCTCCGCTTGGCTCAGGAGGTGGCCACGTTGTGCTTTTGCAGTCGCCCGCTGCTGCTCCAACACCCGCCGCGCCGAGTTGCTCGCGCGCCCCCAAACACGGGATTATGAAAATTTATGCTTATGTTTTATACTAAGGGTTTAGATTATACATTTAGATCTTTGATCCACTTTGAGTTAATTTTTGCCTATGGTGTGATATAAGAGGTCCAACCTTCATTCTTTTTCATTTTAATATCCAGTTGTCCCTGCATCATTTGTTTTTAATCCTCACCGGCGGATATTTTTCTATTTATCTTCAGATCGAGTGGGAGGGAGAGAGAGAAACATCCACGTGAGAGGGACACATTGACTGGTTGCATCCCAGAACCCCAACCAGCGCGGGGGGGGGGGGGGGACCACAACCAGGAATCAAACCCACAACTCATTGGTACTGTGGGATGCTGTACTGAGCCAAAAGGGCCAGGGCTCTGCACTGTTTGTTGGAAAAAACTATTATTTTCCCATTGAATTGTCTTGTATACTTTTGGAAAACCAATTAACCATAAATGTATAGGTTTATTCTGGATTCTTAATTCTATTTCATTGATCTATATATATGTCTGTCCTTATACCAATACCATACTATCTTAATTATTGTACCTTTGTAATAAGTTTTAAAATTGGGAAGTGTGAGATCTTTAAGATTGTTTGGATATTTTGGGTCCCTTGCATTTTAATATGAATTTTAGGATCAGTTTGTAAATTTCTGCAAAAATGCTAGCTGAGATTTTGATAGGAATTGTGTTGAATCTGTAGATCAATTTAGAAAGTATTGCCATGTTAACAATATCGAGCCTTCTGATCTATGAGCATGAGATGTCTTTCTGTTTGTTTAGGTCTTTTATATTTTATTTTAATATTTTTTAGTTTTCAGAGAATAAGTTTTGCACTTCTTTTGTTAAATTTATTCTTTTTTTTTTTTTTAATTGTTCACTCAAGGATTTTTTTTATTGATTTTCAGATAAAGTGGAAGAGAGGGAGGGAGAGGGGGAGAGAGAGAGAGAAAGAGAAATACTGATGTGAGACACAGCAACTGGTTGCTTCCTACAAGACCCCAACCAGGGCCAGAATTGAACCTGCAACCCAGGTGCCCTTACTGGAATCAAACCTGCGACCCTTGGGTCTGTGGGCCAATGCTCTAACTGCTGAGCCAAACCAGCCAGGGCTAAATTTATGCTTAAGAGTTTCTGTTTGTTTGTTTGTTTGTTTGTTTATGTTCTGTTGTGTTCCAATGACTGCTTTTGCAAATTGCCACAGACTTGGTGCCTTAAAACAACAGAAATTTATTATCTCACTGTTTAGAAGACCAGAAGTCTGAAATTACTTTCACTGGTCTGAAATTAAGGTGTTGGCAGTGCATGCTCCCTCTGGAGGCTCGGGGGATAGTCCCTTCCTTGCCTCTTCCAAGCTGGTAGCTCCAATATCTGCCTCCTTGATCACATTGCTTCCTCTTCTCAGTGTGTCAAATCTTTCTCGGACTCTGTTTTATGAGGACTCTTGTGACTGGGGCCTTGGCTGCTGATTTTAAAGAAAGAATGAAAAAAAAAAATGGAGAAAGCAGGATGTGTTACAGGTAAAATCTAAAGAATAATAGAAATCATGGTGGGTACTTTCTCCTGAATCTCTTCTCATTTTTCATCTCTAATTCCCAGCTTCTTTAGGCAGTTCTCTTCATTTCCTACCTGTGGCCACAAACCTAGAATCCCCTATACAAATGAATCATAAAATTTAATGTCACTTTTCCCAAGAATGACTGGTTATACCACCTATTCTATAAAGTCAGACACATCACTTTCTCCTTTTAAAACACATCAACAGCTGCCCAGTGCATATAGAATAAAGTCTAAACTCCCTTAACTTGGATCATAAGGTCCTTAGTGACCAGCACTCACCTGTCTTCCAGGCTCTTGCCATCCTTCCCCTGATTACTCCTATTCTTTTTCTCTTTTTTTATATACATTTTTTTTCTTTATTAATTTTAGAGAGAGAAAGGAAGGGGAAAGAAAGATAGAAACATCGATGAGAGAGAACATTAATTGGCCTGCCTCCTGCATGCCCCCCACTGGGGACTGGGCCCACAACTTGGGCATGGGGACTGGGCCCACAACTTGGGCATGTGCCCTGACTGGGCACGGAACCGCTGACCTCTTGGTGCATGGGTCGACGCTCAACCACTGAGCCACACCAGCCGGGCATACTCCTATTCTTTAGTCACACTGAATTCATTTCAATTCCTCTCAGGCCTTTGGACATGCTAATCTCTCTACTCAGCTCCTTTCTTTGACCCACTCCAGCTCACCCTTCAAGTCTCACCTTAAAAGTTGTTTCCTCCAGGAAGACTTCTCTGACCTCCAGATTAAGTAGCCTTGCTTTGTGCTCCAGGACCTCTTCCATCAATGCACCTGGTACTTCTTCCTTTATAGTACCTGTCACACTGTACTGTCATTGTATGTCTGCTTATCTGCCCCTTGTAGCAATCTGTGAGCTCCTGAAGGACAGTGCCTACCACAAAGTTGGTACTTGATTAGTATTGATGTACTGAATGTTCATTCCTGGGCTGTGGTGAGGCACGCTCCCATTAACATTGTCATGCCCATTAATACTAGCTGAATAGTCAAACTGGAAGGAGATCTGGAGTTATACGACAGGGCCCACTGACGGGGACAGATCCTAGAGAACACTGCAGATGCTTGGAAGGAAATCCAGATGAGCCTGGCATCAGATAAAAGGAGTTGATCTATTCAAACACTCAAAAGCAGGAAGATATTCTAATAAGAGGTTACTGGAACAGGTTTGGAAAGCCAAGCAGGCAAGGGGTAGTAACAGATACCATTTATTGAGCATTCACTATTTGTTGGGAGCTGTATGTATAGCTTTTTCTTTTCCCATCCTTATTGAGGTACATTTGATAAATAAAATTATATGTATTTAAGACATACAGCATGATGTTTTGACACCTGTATACATTGTGAAATGATTACTACAATCAAGCTATGTAACATATCTATCACCTCATATAGTTACCTTTTTATTTCCTTTGCTTCTTTCTTTCTTTTTGGTGAGAACAATTAAGATCTACTCTCTTGGCAAATTTGGAGTACCCAATACCATACTATTAACTCTAGTCACACCATTTGGTACATTAGATTGCCAGACTAATTTTTTTCTTTTTCTTTTTTTTTTATATCCTCAAGGACATTTTTCCATTTTTTGTTCAGATAGAATGGGAGGGAGAGAGAGGGAGAGAGAGAAACATCAACGTGAAAGGGACACTTCAAGTGGTTGCTACCCACATGACCCAACCAGGGCTGGGAACAAACTGCAACTGAGGTACGTGCCCTTAGCAGGAACCGAACCCAGGTCTCTCTGGACCTCAGGCCAACCCTCTAACCGATGAGCCAAACAGGCCAGGGCGCCAGAACTTATTTATCCTTCATATCTGATACTTTGTACCCTCTGAACAACATTTTCCTCACCTCCCAGTCACTTAGAACCATTACTCTACTCTCTGCTTCTAATAGTTTAAATTCAACTTTTTTAGATTTCACATATAAGTGAAATTATGCAGTATTTGTCTTTTTGTGCCTCCTCATTTTACTTAACACAATGTCCTCCAGGTTCATCCATGTTGCCACAAATTACAAGATTTCCTTTTTTAAGGCTGAATAATATTTTATAATATTCCATTACAAATATCACCTTTTTTATTCCTTTATCTTTTGATGGACATTTAGGTTGTTTCTATGTCTTGCCTATTGTAAATAATGCTACAATGAACAGGGGGTACAGATATCTCTTCAAAATAGTGATTTTATTTCCTTTGGATATATACCCAGATGTGGGATTGTTAGATCATATGTTAGTTCTATTTAAAAAAAAAAAATTTTTTTTATCCTCACCTGAGGACATTCTTCCATTTTTTGTTCAGATAGAGCAGGAGGGAGAGAGAGAGAGAGAGAGAGAGAGAGAGTGAGAGAGAGACATCGACGTGAAAGGGACACATCGAGTGGCTGCCACCCGCACGTCCAACCAGGGCCAGGGACAAACTGCAACCGAGGTACATGCCCCTAGCGGGAACCAAACCCGGGTCTCTCTGGACCACAGGCCAACGCTCTAACCGCTGAGCCAAACCATCCAGGGCTAGATCTATTTTTAAATTTTTGAAGAATTTCTATACTTTTCTCCATAGTAGCCATACCACTGTTGTTGTTGTTGTTTTTTTTAATAACTTCATATACATAATCCTAAAGCCAAGTATATGGGGTAGCTGTTACCATTCATATTTGACAGGTAAGACTCAGGTTTAATGCTGGAATTCAAAGCAAGATCCTCCTGGTTTCAGAGGCTGTCTTCTACTTTAGCGCTTGTCAAACTTTAATGTGCATTACATCACCTGGGGGTAGGGAGTGGGGGGTGGGGTCTTATTAAAATGCAGGTTCTGTTTCAAAAGGTCTGGGTTGGTGCCCGAGGTTCTGCGGTTCTGACAAGCTCCCGCTTATGTGGATGTACCAATCACGCTTTGAGTCGCAACACTCTGCATAATACTTTACT